CTACGTCAGAAGGGGAGTACTCACGATGCCATGGTGCAGGCAAGTGGGCGGGACTACGATGCACGCGCAGCGCGGGTGGGCTAGCAAGTGAGTGCATGCGTGAATGAGGACGCGAGCAAGTGCATGCGGATATGGGTGCGTAGACGAGTGGACATGCAATCGGGTGCAAGAGCATGCGACTGGTAGCGTAGCCCAGCCAAACGCACTATTTAGACCGAGAGATACGTCTGATCGCAGTGCACTGACGAAAATGAGGTCAGTACATATATCCAGCAACTACGTACCTGTGAACTATGTTCCCTTATGTTCGCCTCGCCTTCCCCTTGCCATGGCCTGCCTCCTCGCGTCCTTGTTCCGTGCCTATCGTGTTTAAGGGTCTTGCAATTCGGTAAGTGTTGAACCTGCACGCGTGATTGTCGAGTTTGCGCCGCCGAGATGCGTCCCGCCCCAGATACGTGAGGGAAGTCAGACTCATCCTCACAGAGACAATGTGAGTGTTGTGAGATGCGTTCGGTGAGCGCCGATCGGGAAAGTCATAAGTGTGCGGCGGGCGTTTATGACTTACTTGCATTCGCGCTGCATACCACGGTCACCGCTTGCTTGCTTCCCGCCCATCCGCTTTCTCGCATGTTGATTCGGTGCTCCCTTGCAGGTATAGTTAGTATTTCTCGCCTCTACGCCCAAAGCTCTCATGTCCGCTAGCTCCTTCGCCCACCCACTTAGCCTTCTTCCCTTCTCCCGTGTGCCCGCATTGTTGCCCGTCCAGCCGAATTCATTGTCAACTGGCTCATTCAGTGAACGTGTACTGATTTGTATCGTCCCAACAGGCACGTGAGAACAGAGGCGGGACTGGCTAGCTGACCCGCCAGTAGCAGACCTACCTGCATACGCTGAGAGTGGTACAAGACCACATCTTTACCTCCACCTTGGCCCTCATGTTCGCTCCCGCGGTGCGTTTCCTCTCCCGGGAGGTCCTCTTCTGCTCTCTGACAACTTCACCGAGAATTTTGCGGCTCTGGCGAAACGTAACCCGACTGCGTGGCCTCGGACTGGCATGATGTGCATGCAAGTCCGGCGCCGGGCGGCCAGCCAATATCGAGAGAGTGAGAAGGATTCAAGAGAAATATGATGGGACGGGGGGAGGAAGGGAGCGATTCGAATATGGAAAGTGAGCATCGATGCTGTGAAACAAAGGTACGTCCTTGATGGACATACTGCCTCACCACTGTTACCACCGTTCGTTCCAGCTAACGCCCACGTCCGCAGGGCATATTGACGAACAGGGAATTCGCTAGGCCACGCATACGCCTACAACTTGCGCCGCGGCGGCCATGCAGCGCTGCATGGCCGCCACGTCCCAAGCCTATCGTTGCTAGTGCGGCCATTGGCTCTGAGTTCGGCATATTGACGCATTCGCTAGCCACGCATACGCCTACAACTTGCGACGCGGCGGACATGCAGCGCTGCATGGCCGCCACGTCCCAAGCCTATCGTTGCTAGTGCGGCCATTGGCTCTGAGTGCGTCGTGCGCGGTGCGCGCCGTGTTCATGAATGCGCGGTGCACGCCGATGCTCGTGAACATGCCACATCCGTGCTCCGGGACGTAGCTCGACGTAGCTCGCTCGAGCTCTACGTACAGTAGTCGTATATTGATTTAAGGACATCACTTGTATGTATAGTAGGTTAGGTCAATGGATGATGATGAAACGATGTACATATCATTGTGTGAAGCTCGACAGTCGCTGCATTATGAACTAGTAGTAGCGCTGTACATCTACCATAACGTCTGGTATGAGTATTTAGTACACCAGTTGTTTAGAAGAAACCTGTTAGCCTTGTCCAGAATGGTATCCGACGTCCAGTCTTGTGGTAATGATGCAGGTAAATCTACTGATGTGGGCTTAGGAAACTTGGGGATTAACTGACATGATTGACGAATTAGTCTCAATGGCACTATCTCCCCGGGCGCAGTCCCATCGACTCTCAATGGCATCTTCTGGACGTCGTACATCATGTGTACGGGGTCGGCTGAGCCAGGCAGCTTAGCATACCACTCCACATATGCCAAAGGACCTTCGTGGGCCCATTCCTCTGGTGCTGGCATCTCCTCCATCATCCCATGCCTACGTATCTTCTGAGGTAGGCGGAAGATCACCTTGACCCTCCCTATCCTTGTACCTAGAATTTTGTGCGTAAGCATACGTAGTGTAAGCACAAATATGTACTTTGAACTCACCTTGAAGTCCAGTTGCCTCCGCATTGTCGCCCTGTAAAACTATGACAGTGTCGAATCTCGCCGCATCTTGTCCACAAGCCGGTTTGGCTTTGACAACGTCTCGTTCAGGCTGAGTGTCGGTAAGCGGAATCGTTGTGAACTTGAAATTGTGGTACACGTCCAAACGAGAGAGCGGTAGGTATGTGCTGGCCCTGTCAAGCTCCGTTTGTGTAAGTCGACGGCCGAGTTTGAGAGAGTATACGTATTGGGACAGGGCTTTGGTGAACCCGCGAGCCTGATGTCTGTCTGCAATCAATTGAATTGGTTGCTGGACTACCGACGGATGCTTGGGCAACATGAGTCCGGTCCTGGGACGGTGCGGGTGGACTTCTGGAGGGACGCGAGAGTCGTCAGTGTTGCGAGAGTCCTCTCGAAGCCTCTGGCGCAGAGTCTCGAACATCGCTACTTTCTCCTGGCGTTCGAGCCACTTGACCATCTGAGGGCGTGCGTTACGATGGTTGGATGCTCGCCACGCCTTCTTCGCACAGTCGATGTGTAAGCGTTCGAACATTTCCGTATTATAGTTGTCTGTAGTACCGAGATTTCGAATGGACTCGATGTAATGATGAAGGGAATGGAATTTGGGGATGTCGAGGTGCTCACGGATGCCGAGGGTCTTCAAGATGGATTTGTGCTTATGGTAGGTCTTCAATGCGTTGTCCATGTACGATAGGGTCGTCTCGTCGTGCGTCGGATACTGCGCTAAGTAGATGAAATCGAGGAGTGCACGGAAGGTGCAAATAACGGCGTTAGGGACTCGACCTATGAGGCACCCCAGAAGGATGCGAGCCATGTCTTTGCGCTCGCTTCCGGACACCTGTGAGAGGGCGGAAATTCCGTTCTTGAAGTGTCGCGTTCCGTATGCGGGTGGAAGACATCGTATGCGTGCGTCGAGTTCCTTCTCGTCCATGAGTTCACTGCACCATTCGACGACGTGCTTGAAGACGCCCTGGTAGAGCTGGTGGAGGACGTCGGGGGTGATACACATGTGGATGTCGGTAAACGGTAGGTCTTTCCAAAACGGCTCGACGACATAGCCGGAGACATTGAAGTCCTTACACGCATTGAAGAACGGTGTCGATCCCTTCGCGCCTTTCGCCTTCGCCTTGCATAACACGTCGAGAGTCCAGATCTGGCGTCGTGGAGTCCTTGGTGTGGGTTCTCCAAGGCCAGATTCAGGGCATTGACAGACGGCGCAGGTCCCGTACTTGGCACAAGTGACCAAACACTGTTCCGGGTAGTCTGCGACGTACGATGCGAGAACCGGTGTATGCGGCGGACCTTTCCATCGCCTCCGGTGACATCGATTCCTGTCTTCCCTGCCTCGACCAACGGCTTCAGGATCATCTTGACTGAGCTGTGGAAAAGTTGCTGCATCAAAGCACGCTGCTTGCGCTCGGTGAGCCCTGCAGCATCCACCTTGTCTACTGACAAGTACCCAATCAGTATGCAGGCGTGTTCCGATGGCTTACGTCGCAGCGCCTTCGGAATGTTGCCGAGGGTCATATACACTGGGTAAGCCGATTTGTTGCCTGAGAATTGTGTGAGCTGAGTCTTATCTGTCGAGATGATGACAGGGGCCAATGCTGCGCCAGTAGGTAGGAGACTCTGCGCTCAAGGCTACGTGAGTCATAGCCTTTGAATAATCAATACAATACTCACCTGTACGGCGTGCCACCACTTCCCTGTCCACATTTCCGAATAGATTCGATTCTTCTTCGACGCGTCAGAGAAAATCCAGCTTGGTCTATAAATGATTTGGTCGGCGTGAGCTGGGTTGCCCAGCAAAGCCTTGATGGCTTCAATAATGTCACGGAACTGCAGGAGGTGGCGTTCGCCAGGGCGATCCTTGAAAGATAGCCAACGTTCCTTCCATCGCGCACGCTCTGGTATGGAGTCGACTTTTTGTAAGAGAGCTCTCGTGTTATGGTACGATAGCCCCAGTTTCTCTCTGACCTGTATATACCATCAGACTCTCAAGTCGTGCTCACAGAAGTCGACAAATTCACCTGAGGTATCTCGAGAAATCTATCGATAGCACCCTGACTGACACCCTCCTTGATGCACCATGACGCGACCTCCCAGTCAGTTTCAGATTCGAATGGTTCCCATAGGGAGCTATCAGATTGGGTTGCATCTGTGTAAGCAATGCGTCAGACATGTATTTGCAGCACAGATGCATACATAACTCACCCGCTTCACTGAGCCCATCTGTCCCTTTCCTTTTGGAAAAATGGTGGCGCCATGCCTCTTGAAAGGTCCGCCCCTCTCCCCTCACCGTTCCTGCCTTCTCATCTACGACCTCAACCCGAGTGTCTTCATCGTCATCGAGCGCAATAGCTGTACGTCGTGCCGCCGCCGCGGCAGACGTGGATGCTGCTGTTGCAGGACGACTTGGACCGGCCACAGGGACGAAGATAAGGTCTTGCTCTTCGTCGTCCACGTCGTCGTCCACGTCGTCGTCCTCGCTCTCGCTCTCGCTCAGATCTTGCTGCTCAAACACAGCATCTGGGCTGAGCGATGGTCCTGGTGCCTCGCTTTCACGTACGTCCTCGTCCTCGTCCTCGCCTCGCCGCGCTCTCGCCCTCGCCGTCTATTTGTGACGTGCTTGCCACTGGAATAGGCTGTTGAGAAGGATCAGGCGTTCGAGAACACCTTCATAAGGTCGGTGAGAGGACTATGACAACATGTACAGTATGTACACACCTACGACGATGACTCGTCTTTACTGTTGCACATCCTTTTTTTTGCGTTCTACGCGGCGCACCTCATCCTCACTGCTAGAGTCGTCAGATTCATTGAATATTTGGCGTAGTTTCCCCTTCTTATACCACGCGCACTTGCGGCTTGTCGATTGGTGGGCAGTGAGGCCTTGCGTCGTGTCGAAATACTCATAGCACGCCTCGCATGTCTGAGTGAAGAGGTCCTCTAAGCTGCGAGGTCTCTTCTTCATGCGCGGTCTCTTGCCCTGTCTCTTGCTCATGACCTACAGGCCTGGTACGACTTCAGTGAGATCGTAATGACACAATATCAGATCAAACAACTGCTCACATGCGCTCGCAATGACCTGGTACTTAGCGTGATAATTGCGTTCGAAAGAGTCCAGCAGAATTGCGGCGTTCAGACGCCAGAAACGCCACGAACGCCAGGGCGCACATGCATCTTACGTCTTGCTCAGGGTCACACATACTTGCTTCCAAGCACTCCATTTCTTGACATTCTTGCTTTGTCTCTGCAACTGTGAACGCATCTCTGGAGACCATTGAATTCAAGACTCGATGTTCTGGTGCGTTTAGATTGACTGCCCTCACCGTTGTTCCACTCACCACCTCAATTCCGGGTGTGGTATGATCTCTAGAATGTTAGAAGAACGGCGCCTCAGCGTCTGCATGCCGTTCAATGCCCATTCAATTGGCTTGCCCTGCATCCTATACATCGACTTTCTGGACGTAAGTACACAGAGATCTTTTCCAACCTACCGCGCCCTACCTCACATAACAACACCCAGAACACATACCAGTTTTTTGGCCTCTGATCGCATTCCTTATTGGAATGAGTGCGGTGAGGCCGCACTCATCCCAGAAAGGAAAATGAGCGCGGCGATCATGTTCTCTGCAGACAGAATTATTCTTGAGGGTCGGTTCACTGTGCGTCATGCGTCAGAGGACAGATGATGTGATTCTTGAGCGCATTCACTGACCTGCCTGGACTTTGGTTCGTCGCAGAGACAGGTGACAATTGCGCGTGAGCCATGCGGATGAGATAAGGATAGTACCGGCCGTCGCATTAATATTGCACTGTGCCAATGATTTTGTGGTGAGTCTGTGAATTGAGATAACTCCGGGTCATCGTTGCATGACCTGCGTTCGTTCTTCATGACCTTCTGTGCATAGGAATTCGAACAGTGCCCGCGTTCTATCTCACATGTGCATTCTGTGATTGACTGGGGACTGTCGGCCTCAGTTGGTGGCCGAATTCTGGTGGCGCACATGAAAAGATAGGCTATGCTCCGCTATGCTCCGGATTGCACTTTACATAACGACTTCTTTCTGTCAGTCGGCTCTCCTCACTCTCGCGATTGCCTCTAACATGCCCTCGATACGCTACATTCACGGTCGTCGTCCCCACATTGCCACTGGCAGTGTGGACTCCAGTTCAGACGACAGTCACTTCATTGACTACGCCCACCCTGCCAGCCAACACTCAAAGGATCTGCCTACCCTCTTCGACCAAGACATCTGGCAAGGAGATACGGATACGGATACGTATACGCAAGGTAAGTCCCTACTGCATCTCCTAATCGATAGCCTCACCCACCCCACCCATATTGCAGTCGCTCCTTTCCCCTCCTCACCGCCCTCCTCTGCGAGCGGGGCCTCTGCGAGCGGTGCCACGCTCTCCTCCCCAGTGCTTGAACCGCGCTACAAGGACATACAAGATCAGCGCGACTCCGTTCGGTTGTGGGACCTCGCCGATAAAATCTTCGGTGATTTGTTGGACTCAATTGACTTCCCGCTCATCTACGACCGTCACATCCGCCGCCACCACATAACAGAGCAAGACTGGCAAGAAACGAAGACGTACCTCGAACAACACACGTATATTGTACACTCCCTTTCGTAAGCTTCGTTGTATTCTCACCATGCTCATATTGACCTTTCATTAGGTTCTTTTACGATCCGGTCATGGCTACGCTCGACATTTATTCTCCCACGAGTTTGCACCAAATTGTGAACGACTCGATGGTGAACCGCTACACCGAATCGGTCCAAGTCAAACAGCATCAAGCTATATCGATAGACGGGGCTCGAGGACTCATAACCGACAACATAGGGCATACGCCCGACTCGGTGCTTTCGATATCCACCACTCGGCGCCTTCCAGACGGCGATCTGATCTACGTCGCGCGGGACACGGGTGTCACGGAGACATCGTTCACCCAGAGTGTCGATGACATGGTGGGCCAGGTACGTAGCTAATCAACTTCGTTCAATATTGCATCCTTGACATGCTCTGCAGATGGGTGTCTCCATGGGCGTTAGCGATCGACCGATCCCCCTCCTATTCACCGGCATTAACATCGACACCGAAGACTTCATAGAGCCCGACGCTGAACATGCGGCCCCCGACTCTGGCGGATTCATCAAGGGGGGCGGCGCGGCGAACGACGTCATATCCACCGGCTGGAAGCGCGGGGACCGAGTGCTCATCAAGAGGGTAAAGGCACAGTGGTTTATGTTCTTACCGGAGGAACGTGAGGACGTGGCGCGATGTCTGAAAGAGTACCACAACGCGAGAGATTGGGTAGTATGGAAGTACGGCGTGGTGAGTGTCGGTCATTCCCTCTTGTACAATCGTCACTGAAGCTTTAGCAGCCCATCCAGCATCATTACGAAGCGGGTTCAGAGGCGTTCATAGCCCACGATCATGCGCTACGCAGGTACCGAGAGGCCATCATCAGAATTCGCGCAGTCGCGCACAACCAGCGAGTTCTAGCCATCCTTATGGAGGCAGAACAGACGCGGGACAAGAGCGTTTTGAATGAGCTGAAAGAATCCGACGTTGCGGACGACCTCACCTTCGATGATCCACCGATTCCTGATCCCATCCCGTCGTTTATTCGAGACATCCAGGTCGGCGTGCGACAGAAAGCTCAAGATGATTGGAGCAGGCACACCTACCGCGTGGAGACCAACAATGCGGCCACGCTCAACGACGCAGAGGAGCGTTCGCAGTATCGGCGGGTCATGGAGACCCTCAAGCGCGTGCTCGACGACGATGTGGCTGACGGGGATGAGCAAGCCCTCGCGGACTTCAGGAAGAGGCAGCGCTTCAACACGCCGTCGCCGCCGCCGCCTCCAAAGCCGCGGCAGCCTCCCCGATTGAAAGTTGAAGACTTCCCGGAGGAGGAGTTGTCGAGCTCTGAGCCCAGCGGCAGTGGCAGCTCTGCGAAGAGCTCGTTTGAGCAGCCGCGTGGCATGGCGGATGCTAATGAGTACGCCCTCGCAACTGGACGTACGCTGAGGAGTGAGGCTCGGCAGAGGCCAAGGTAATCATACATCACCGTTTGTCCATCGCATCACTATTTCGCATCTCGCATCGCTATTTCGCATCGCTATTTCGCTATCATCGCTATCGTTTTCGTGTCCATGTTTTCGTGTCCGTATACCAGCAGCGTCGTTTCTCGAATGTATATACATTTATACTGCTATGCATCAGATCCGAGTCGTGTTGGATTGAATCACAGCCTCCACGCAGAACAGACATGGGCTAGACTTGTTGGGCGTCTCATGAAGTCGGTCTCATGCTCTCTGGTATCACTGCGTCTCAAGTTTGCTCTGCTCACCTCTAAACGCAATATGGCTGGTTCGAACGCTGTCAATCATTCCATCAATGCCATTGAGCAGTGTTGTTTAGTCCAGCTGCTCAACAACACTCCCAACCTAAATCAAGTTCTGAAGAACTTACTGGATCGATTACAAGACGTTGCAAATGTTCCCACTTCGGTTCAGACAGGTACAGACATAATTGCTTTTCGAAGAGCATCACTGATCAATATTCTTATTGTGCAGTGGACACTGGAACATCGGCAGTTGCAGATCAACGCCAGACACGTTCAGAAACTCGACGTCTGCGGAATCAAGTGTTGCCGGAAAACAATGCAGACAACGAGGCTGGTAAGCTCTGTGATTTCTGTATCGTTAGTCCTCTATTGAACACAAGTAGTTCAACAAATGTCCTCTCAGACCAGCGATACCTTAGGCCAGGGCACGGTGGGGCCAACCAGGCAGACGCGGTCATGCCAACGAAAGACACCGTATGCGCGTGAAGAGGGAAATCCTGCCGGGCGATCTTCTCAGCGGCGTAACGTCCTGCGCAGGCGTTCCCGCTCGCCATGCTGGCGTGGAGGGGTTCCTTTTTGTCTTCAGGGCGCCGCACCATCTCTGGTATGGGAATCCGATCAGCAAGCAGCACCGTCACAGTCTTCGAAGGCCACCGTTCACAAATTCTTCACGAACCTCACAAGCAACTTGACGGAGCAAGCGATTGTGGACTGTTGCGAGTCCATGCAACACGGCATTAGCAGTACAAACGCCAATGTTCCTCGTTTCGCCGGTGACGAGTCATTGAAAACACTTGCGCAACGATGCACTCTCGCATTCAAAGACAAGGCAACCTCTGATATCGTCGTGATGATGAGGCTCATACAGCTGGCAGTCAGATGTAGCGAGTGGGTACAGGCCTACTAATCTCAGTGAATGACGCACTTACGTTCGAATTATTGCCATTTTCGCAAGCTTGCGACGAGCTGATCCGGACCTCACAAACACTGACATTTGGCGCACCGAGCTGCAAACAACGACCAGGGTTGCCAAGAGAACATTCCTAGATTGGATTTCTCAAGGCAGCAAGTTTGCCTTTGCGGCGGGAGGAGGTAAGCTATGCAGCGCTGTCATTTTGGACACATGCTCAACAACATCGACCAGGCTCAGTGTACATGCTCATCCTGATCGCCGTGCAGAACCTCAGAGTTCCTTTAGGAGCGGTGGATGGCCATTCAGCCCAGGAAATAGGCAATATGCTGCGATGGCCTGATGGTATGTTTACGTTCTGTTAATCATTCGGTACCAGCTCATCTGCAATGCAGACTCGCGAGCGGGACATCTAGTGAAGGAGATCATCATCCCTTCCATATCTAACTTGCACAGGCACTATCCAACCATGCTGGACGACCTTTTCCCTGTATCCACCGTCAGAATAGGAAGTCTTGAGGAGAATGACGCATATTTTGATGGTCTCAAATCCAAGTATGTGCCGTCTGCACTTGCAAGTTCAATGTATTCACTGGCTTTTGCAGCACGTTCAGCCTTGTTCCGAGGCTGAAGAGCGTGTGGCAGTCGTATGGCCAAGGCGTTTTGCGAGCTGCCTCTCCTATTCAGCAACCATCTCGACTGTCGCCACTATCACAGTCCCTGAATCCTCTATCTCTATCACCATTGACCCCAGTAATGACATTGTCGCAGCTATCGTCGCAGCTATCGTCACCGCTATCGTCGCAGCTATCGTCACCGCTATCATCGCCGCACTGGTTGCCTCATTCTTCGCCTCAGTCAACTTTCGAAGCGACGGTGCCGACGCCGCCTATCCCTGTCATCATCACGTCTTATGACCCTGAAAAGAAGAACAACCTACGATACCCGGCTCCTCGTGACAAAGCCCAAAACATTGCCTGGACAGAGACAGCTCGTTCATGGGCTCGTAAAGCAATCGTGCCCGTCAGTATTGAAGACCTTCAGTCTCAGGTAGAGTGTCGAATGTTATTCCACCGACATCAACTGATTCATGTACATTCAATAAAGCTTCAGGAACGTACAAGGATGGGGAGAGAATTAGCCAAGATGCATTTGTTCGTGTTCCCATGAACCTCATATCGTGAGCATTGTTAGTCTCATTCATTCTGTGTACAAATGTGCATCCCCATTGCAGGGATGCTCTTAATATACGAGGGCGGGATAATGGATTGATCGCGAGTATCTGCACTTCAATGCCGGACGCCATGAAGCGGAACTTGATGGATGGACTTGTCGCCTGCTTCGATTCGGACCCATTCAAGCCAATCGACTCAAACTCTGCGAATGGAGAGAGAACGTTCGAGGCGATCCATTTTTCGTGGTACAATCGTCACTGTACATCGGTGCGTACATTAAATTTATATCCAGTCGTCGTGTTGTGCTCATCACAGAGTTCACTGCAGGGTCATTCTGCGCCTGCGGACATACCTCCTGCCTTGCTGAGCAGAGCGGGTTGTATGCGTACGAATCATGGTCAATTCGTACCGTACGTGTCTAAGGACATGGAAGACCACCAGGCAATTTACCAGTCCCTCAAGAATATATTTGCAGACGTCTTCAGTTGGATAGATGAAAAGGTGAGCATACACGTCAGTGATTCTCATGATGAGAGTGCCTAAGCCACATTGTTCTAGCTTCAAACAGTCTTACCGATGGAATATGAACGCCTCGAAGCTACCGCCTCAATTCTACCTGGTAATAA